CCCCCCCACCGAGTCGGCCGGATACTAAGCATGATATGGGCTGGTACCGCAGCATTACCCGACTTTTCATCGGGAATCCCATTCATCGAGCTGGCGGTCGGTACGTTTCATACGCCGGAGGCACGAGGCACTGGTATGTTATTGGTATTCTTACTTATAACTGTGATCTAGCATTCTGTAATTTATCTTTTACATGTTGTGCAGGCTATTAGCCTACAGTTATTCCACCGGTTGGGACTGCAGATGAAACAACATGCCGGCGAGAGAGCGGTCACTTTGCACAAGTATGGTCGGTAGTTAGAGCTGGCTGCTCGGACACTACATCGAGCTAGAGAGGATGAGCGATTAGAGCACGTCCCTGCTTATGCGGTGCTAGAGCACTAACATCGAGATAGGCCTATCCCACGAGTGAAGGTAGCATGAGGCAGGGCTGTCCCATGAGGAAAGGGTGCCCCACTAGGCAAGGTTGTTCCATGTGGTCGTGGGGGCCGGCGAGGAGGTGGTCCCCAGCAAGGGGGCGTTGAGGCACCTGTTCAGGTACCTGTTGAGGATGTTGGAGCTGATCTTCCGAGTGACCTCCATCAGCCAGACGAGCATCACAGCAGCATGTCGTCATACAGCCTTCAGCTGGCGTTCTCTCCAGCAACATCGTAGGTAACCCCGTCAGATCCATTATTGATCACGTGCACAAGCATTACCGAAGATGATTAGGAGCAGTTCTGTCACGACCCCGGTTTGCCCTTTGTGAACCATCGTGATGGCACCTAGTCTCTACGACTAGGTAGGCCTAACAATGCGAAAAAATAAACAAAAATTGCGGAAAATATTATTAAAAACCGAAATAGTAAAATAAAATAGCGTTTAAGATGCTGCTCGGCATATACAATAACTAATCTCGAAGCTAACAACATTACCCAAAACCCGGAATCTCATGAAACACAAGCTTTTGAATATCTACAAGTGTCTAACTCCAGAATATCTAACAAAGAAAAGAAATACAGAATGGCTAATACTTAAAAGTAGAATAGAAAGGGACTCTTCAGTCTGCGGACGCGGAAAATATATCTCGGAGTCTCTACAAGTGCCTCATCTCAAGTGTGATAAGTCCGAGTGGAAGTACCTGGATCTGTACATAAAAAACATGCACAGAAAGGGCATGAGTACACCACATCGGTACTCAGTAAGTACCAAGCCTAACCTCGGTTAGGTAGTGACGAGGAAGGTCAGGGCCCTACTGAGGTTAAATAAAATACAAGGTGTAACAGTATAGAATGAGACAGTATAATTAAGTGCAACAGTAGGAAATAACACATGATAGGAAGAACAACACAAATTATAACTGAGACAAGATATTCACAGAAAAGAATACAGCTCACACAGAAATAACAACTGGGGGATCTATTGGTATCCCGAGGATCTCTTGGTATCCTTAATATATGCTAGGGATCTCTTGGTATTCTGAGGATCTCTTGGTATTCTGAGGATCTCTTAGTATCCTCAATATACATGCTGGGGATCTCCCGGTTCGCGTAGCTTTCATAAAGTGTTAGTCCTCACTCGATTGCTCAAAGCCGGTTACCAACTCGACCTCGAGGCATTATAATCGATGGCTCGAGGCCTCGATCTCCAACTGTTCGGTTCGATTGTCATACCGTTCCTAAGTTGTAATCTTGATTTCTAACCTTTTACTCAGCATCCATTGTTTAACAACTAACATAAAAATAGATCACGTATTTTTAGAACCTCATAATCAAATTTAATTGTTATTACCATTTTCACGGTAAACAGACATCAAAATGATATTGAGGGGAAACCAATTAACTTTCCTCTTTATTAGCTTCCTTTAGGAAGTACAGTTATAAGAAGGTATAAGGATTCTGAATAACTAATGCAAAGTTAAGTGCATAACAACTAATTAAAGAAATGATCATACAGCCTAAATATGATAGTATAACAATTCACTAAACATAAACAAGCACAAGTTTTGCACAATGTAAGTAACTTTAAGAAGTCCGTCATTAAACAATATAAACTATCCTCAGCTCTATGACTCAGTCAAATAGCATTTCTTTTTAACTTGTTCATGAAAAGTTGAAGTGATTTAAACTTCTTATAAGAAAGTAAGAAAGCTCCTCATACGTAGTGTTTTAAAGCAAAATCTAGCTCAAAAAGCAGATACCTTATCGCCTAATCCTTGAGCAGCAGCAAGAGCTTGAGCCCTCTCGGCTTGTACAGGACTCAACGTGATGCCTTGAGCTGTAGCGCCATATTTCTTTGCAAGGTACCTAGAACTGCCTCCTATCCCACATCCAACATCAACTATGGACCTTGGTTTCTTTGCCAGATCATCTGAAAATTCATGTTAGGAAATTAAGGTATACAAGAAAAGAGGGGTCTATTTCCAGAATTCATAACTACAAAAAGGGAAGCTTAATATTATAGAGTCTCATCACTCATGTAGATACCTCAGGATTCTAGAGTAGGAAATAAGAGGAGAGCAGATTGCAGGGAGACATCACTTATTAAATGATGTCCTGCCATGCAGCAGCAGCAACAACAACTACTATACCTCCTATGTTGCTCAGACTCTCCGAAAATATCGCCGGGTGCGTGTCGGATTCTCCAAAAGCAGTGTATTTTTGGAGGATCCGACATGGGTGCGGCAGTATTTTGGAGAATCCGCGCAACATAGTATACCTCAATCTTAAACAAGTTGGTCGGCTATGTAAATCTTCACTGACCATGTTCCCCATACAAATTTATCTTGCTTCCGACATTTTACAGAATAAAAATAAAATAAAATTTACTAGAAGTTCTCTATATTTCCTACAACCATAAAAATCTCTACTAGGGCTTAAGGACTCCTAAAAAGTATAGGATCTAAAGTACACGTACATTAACATGAATAAGATAAATTCCCAATTAATTGGTATTGCCTATATAAATCAAGTTTTTCCGTATACCTTTTCTCTAAATCTGCATTGATTCCAAGAGATTGTAGGTATATCGAGACAACTTCCTTTCATATGATTAAAAATGATCACATTCTCCGGAAGGTGCAATATATGGGGTAAAAGAATACAATAAGCACTCTCCATTTCCTCATCGTACAATCACAAGATTGGATCCAGCTGACATAAGAACTCTATTAAACAAACCCTTGTATACAGGTCATACAGCAATTGTCAGATTCTTGCGTCATGTAAGATATCACAAATAGCAAAAATGTAGAGCTCGGCTTTTCAAAAGTGACAGGCAGAAGCGGATTCAAGATTTGAGATTTATGGGTTCCTATCGTAATTTTAAATTAATATGCAATAATAATTGGATTCACAGTTAGATATTTATAAATATTTAGCGAATTTCTTAATATAAATACAAGAACTACACAAGAGTTATTGAGTTCCCGGGAACCCATACTCAATGCTCTAGCTCCGCCCGGTGACAAGTAAACTTACTCAATATTGCACAACCCAAAATCGACTATCTGGCCCATAGAGACATAAAACAAAATCCAAATTGGTATTTCCCTAACAAACAACACAGTCAATGCTTGTAGGTTATAACAGGACATCACATTTAGCCGTTACTATCAATATATTCACAACTGAAACAAGAAAAGAAGTCAAGCCTTTTCCCCATAATCTAAATACATATTGTATCCTTCACCCCTTTTGTCTTCAAAACTTCTGTTTCCCAATTTCTTGGACGCAAAGTCAAAGGCCTTTCCTTTCTTCCAAAAAATCCAACCTTTTAAATCAATAACAGTAAAAGGGTCTAAAACTAGAGACACACTTCAAGATTTAAGTACAAAACACAACTATATTCAGATTAACAATAATATTATATTCTTCAAAACTTTACAACTAAATATATATAGTTCAATTCAAGTCGAAGGCGTGCTGCGCAAAACTATCAAAGAAAAAGAAGCCCATTTACCAGAAACAGAAGCAAAACGTAGAGCCCGTTCAATCATACGGATCTGAGCAGCACGATGATCAGAAAGTGCAACAGATGATTGAGGTTCATAAAATCCATGATGCATATGGTCACCCCAAATATCTTCCCAAATCCCTGATGACTCATCATATAATTCTGCTATTCCTTTTTTCAACTCTTGTTGATTCTGTACATCAATTTCTGGTGTTGACACATCATTCATTGCAGCAACACCTGTCATTCTTCTTCTGGTTCTAGTATTACTATTACAAGTTCTAACACTTCTTCTTGTTGTTTCTTTGATATTGTGAATCTGTTGCAACTGTGGTTTATTGAGAGTGAAGATAAGGGAAGAGGGACACGTGGGGTTAAGTGATTGGATGGAATAAGCAGAATAGCACGTGCTGCCCATCTTACCATAGATAAAAAAGTACAGCAGTGACTCGATTATTGAATGAATGAAGGAGAAAAACAATGGCAATTGGCAAAGAATTACGACTATTTTTTATTTACAACAAGAAGATTGGAGTTTCGAGAAGAAATGGGCTGCCCAATGGAAATGGGAAACGATTGTTTTTTGTGATTTGGAAACTGACAACAGTCACATGCCAAAATATCCTCAACGTGGAAGTTGGAACATTTGGTATTTTTCTTGGTTTTTCTGAATTTAATAAGAAGTCCATTTGTTATCATGATAATAAACTAGATTTTAATAAGAAATCCATTTGAGAAATATTTATGGAAAGAAAATCTGGTTTAAAACAGATAGGATTTATGTTTCTTGAAAACTTCTCCAAAAATTCTTCTAATCCGAGTATTTCAAATGGCATGGAAGTGTAACGACCCGTTTTGTCGTTTTGAGCTCTAGTGTGTCGTTCAGCAGTTTGAGGCCATGAACAGCTTCACTTCAGGTATTATGACTTGTACGTGTAGTTGGAATTGAATTCCGGGAAGTTCGGAGTTGATTTGGAAAGAGAATTCTCATTTCGAAAGTTTTAAGTTGGAAGAATTGACTAAGATTGGACTTTTGAGTAAACGACCTCGGAATTGGGATTCGAAGGTTCCAACAGGTTCGTATGATGATTTCGGACTTGGACGTATGTCCGGATCGGATTTTGGAAGACCCGGGATCGTTTCGGCGCCTATTGTGGAAGTTGGCATTTTTGAAAAAAATTCATAAATTTGGTTTGAAGTGCAATTTCAGTGTTATTGGTGTCCGTTTGGGATTCCGAGTCTAGGAATAGCTCCGTATGGTAATTCTGGTGTTGGGAGCGCGATCGGAAGTGAATTTGAAGGTCCGTGGGTCATTTTGGAGTCATTTGGCTAAAGATAGAAATTTGAAGGTTTTTGAGGAGTTTGACTGGAAGTGGACTTTTTGATATCGGGTCGGATTCCGATTCCGGAAGTTGGAGTAGGTTCGTAATGTCGAATATGACTTGTCTGCAAAATTTGAGGTCAATCGGATGTGATTAATAGATTTTGGCATCAAATATAGAAGTTTGAAATTCTAAAGTTCATTAAGCTTGGATTGGACTGCGATTCATGGTTTTAGCGTTGTTTGATGTGATTTGAGGCCTCGAGCAGGTCCGTGTTATGTTATGAGACTTGTTGGTATGTTTGGACGGGGCCCTAGGGGCCTCGGATGTGTTTCAGATCATTTTGGGCTATTTTGCAATAGTTGATGCTGGTGTCTGGTGTTGTTCTTTGCGTTCGCGAGGATCCTCTCACGTTCGCGAAGAAGGATTTGGCTTCACGGACTTTGTTCTTAGCGTTCGTGAAGAGATCCTCGCATTCGCGAAGAAGGAAATCTCTGTTGCACAGGTCTAACTTCGGAGGCTTATATCTTGCAATCTATAAGAAATTTGGAGATGATCCAACAATAAAAGTTGTAGCTCTTTGTGTCTAGTTTTCAGAAACGTAAACTATTTAGCATTTGAATTTGTGTACAAAAAGTTATGGCTAGTACACTACAGGCTATCCGGAAAGATGAAGAAGAAATTTGTATTGCACAAGGCTGACTTTAGCAGCTTATATCTCAAAATCTATAAGAAATTGGGAGATAACCAAAACATGAAAGTTGTAGATCTTGGTGTATAGTTTTCAAAAAAATTAAACAATTTGTCATTTGGAGTTTTATACAAAATGTTATGGCCATTATACTAGGGGTTGTCTGAGAAGAGTTTGGAAAATGGTTTTTGGGAATTTTCTTCTTTGTAAACGTGATGGGGGTCTCGCAAACGCGAAGAAGAGTCGTCTGGGCAGTGTATAAGAGTAAAGAAATGGGTTTGGCTTATTTCATCTCATTTCCTCCATCGGAGCCGACCTAGGAGCGATTTTGGAGCTCCATCTTCATCATTTATGTCAAGGTAAGTGATTCCCACCTATTGCAAGTTAATTACTTGGATTATATCTAGATTTTAACATGGAAAATCATGTAAATTAGTACTCCCTCTGTTTCATATTATATAAGGTAGTTTAACTCGGCATGGAGTTTGAGAAAAAAAAAAGACTTTTGAAACTTGTGGTCTTAAAAGCTTAAGGGGTAAAAAGTTTGTGGTGCCATGACATTTGTGTGACTATAAAAGCTTCCCATTAAGGGTAAATGAGTAAAATGAAAGAGTTTAAAGTTGAATTATTTTCAAACATAGAAATATGTCATTTGTTTTAAAACAGACTAAAAAGAAAAGTACCTCATTTAATATGAAACGGAGGGAGTAGAAATTTTGGGATTTTGAAGAAAACCTAGGAAAGTTGTATTCTTGGATTTTGACCACGATTTTGGACATAAAATTGAGAGCAATTTATATATTTGAGTCATGAGGTTGTGGGTAAATTTTATCTTCGAAAATTTTTAGAATCCGGGCACGTGGGCCCGAGGGAGATTTTGTCAACTTTTCGATCGGGGTTAGAAATTGTTATAAATTGGGTTATTATGAGTAATTGAACATATGTTAATAGGTTTACATAATTGGTGGCTAGTTTTGGAGCATTGCGTATCGATTTGAGTCTTCGAAAGGGCGTGGAATGCCAGTTTTGGAAATTCGGAGCAAGGTAAGTCTCCTTTCTAACCTTGTAAGAGGGAATTAACCCCATTGGTGAACTAAATTATTATGTGCTTCTATTTGAGGGGGCTACGTATGCACGAGGTGATGAGAGTGCGTACGTAGCTACTAGCTATGCCCATATCTTGGTAGTTTAGGCTTACATCATGCTTTGTTGATATTGTTGTTAATTTATGTTATTGTTGTCTTGAGAAGAGACAAGATTAGGGTTGCGTAATAATTGTGTTAAAAGGAATTTGAATTGAGGAATTTAAGATTTTTAAGGGTTTTCATGAAACTTCGTATTTTCGAAAGAATTGAGAAATATTATAATAACTTAAGAAGTTTATGTGTAACAATGTCGCATGTGCATTTCGCGAGCGGGAAAAATCTCTTTAAAAGTTTCACGTTGAATTGTCCTTATTTTGAAAGGAATCAAGAAAAGGATTTTAATTTATTAATAAATTATATTTGGCCGTGTCGCATGTATGATTTGCGAGCGGGGGGAAATTTCATAAATTATATTTGACCGCATCGCACGTATGATTTGTGAGCGGGGTATTTCCTTCTACCACTCTTATGGGATTGGGCCGTTTTCCTCGGCAGGATTTATGTACCACACTCTCATGGGAGGGGGTCGTTCACCTCGACAGGTTAATAGATGCATCTATGGTTCGCGTCGTTCGACCCTCGGCAGTGCATAGTATACACACATCATTCTTATGGAATTCATGCATAATATTTGGCTAGAAGTCGGTGTATCTTAGGGTTTTTTCCTGATTTGATTTATGACAACCTCTTGATGATATCGACTATATCTTTATATATATGCTCTGGTTACGGAGGGGACTTGCTAGTTGAGAGCTCAAGCAAAAATTGTAAAGAAGGGAATTGTACCACGTATTTAATACATGTTTATCTCATATATTTACTTTGTTTCATATTTATTTACTTATCTACTGTATTTGATATTATTGGACCACTAGTAAGTGTCGAAGTCGACCTCTCGTCCCTACTTCTTCGAGGTTAGACTGGATACTTACTGGGTACGTGTTGCTTTCATACTCATACTACACTTGTTGTGCATTTTTGTTACACAGGCACATGTATGTCTAGTGGCCTCGTTAGGTGCAGCAGCATGGTTGATACAGAGACTTAGATGAGATGCATCTCTCGGGACGACACGCAGCCAGCAGAGTCTCCTTCAGAGTATTGTATTTTCCTTTCTGTCCAATTTGTATTCAGGACAGTTATTGTAATACATTTTAATTTCGTTGAAATTGCTCATGCACTTGTGACACCGGGTTCTGGGATGACTATGGGATTTTTCAGTATTCAATTTGTTAAAGACATCATTAGCTACTCAGTGAAGTTTATTATATATTGTTTAATATAAGGAAAAGAAATGATTTTAAAAATACTAAATTGAGAATTTAATTAACTTCTTGGTATTGACTTGCCTGACAGTGGTGTCCGGAGCCATCACGACCTTTAATAGATTTTGGGTCGTGACAACATGGTATCAGAGCACTAGGTTCACTTAGGTCTCATGATCATGAGCAAGTTTAGTAGAGTCTTGCGGATCGGTACGGAGACGTCTGTACTTATCTTCGAGAGGCTACAGGGCTGTTAGGAGCATTTCCCTTCTTGATTCCTCATAGATCGGTTTGATTCCCTTGAGGCTTATTCCTTCATTTCCTTTCTATTCAATCTTATGCGACGTGAAACGATGGTTATAAATTGGGAATCGAGGAATTGTAATGGTACTGCAGATGTGGTGTATGATATTTCTTCCTGCGTATTTGACTGGGCAGCGAAGAATGAGGAAGGGCATGTGAGAAGTGTCTTGTGGTGATTAAACTCCTAGAAGGCCAAGTGTGAGAAACAGGAGTCCAGTAGTTGCTTAAAGGAGTGAGTTTGACCAAAGTGGGAGAGTGGCAGAGTAGCATATGGGTTCAGTGGCACGATAACTACACACCTAGAGGAAAAGTTTAGAGTGAATTGGGATTCACGGTGGTCAGTGGCTGGGTTTGCAAGCTCGATTTGAAATATTGGTTGTCATCGACGGGAAATTGGGTGCAACAGAAAGGAGTTGCTTGATATGAATAAGGATACAACATGAATTTGGATTGGAATGTATTGTTGCACCTTTAGTTGATGCCCATGATGAGTGAATGGACATGTGAAGCTAGTGAGTGAGCATGGGCTCAGGATGGGTTACTGATTTCATAGTAGTTGGGCAGTGCATCTTCATCGAGAGATGTCAGCATATAATTTCCACAGGTAGGTTATCTTCTGTGAGCAAGTCAGCGGTCTCGTGGTTGGCAAAGTTTCTACAAAGGATTTTACTTGCTATCCAGTAAGAGGTCGAATATGTGGATGTTGCTAGATATTTAGAGTGTTCATGAAATGCTAATGGAAGGATTTCGAGGAATTTGGTGGTTTGATTGTGCAAGATCATGTCAATAAGAGATAAAGGACCTTGGTGGGTTCCAGGGTTGTGTAATAGTAGCTTCAAGCTAAGTGGGAGAGTCC